AGGGGGTGGCACAGAGGAGGGCACAGGGTGTGGCACAGGATGGCACAGGGGGTGGCACAGAGGATGGGACAGGGAGTGGCACAGAGGATGGCACAGGGGGTGGCACAGAGGATGGCACAGGGGGTGGCTGTGCTGGCTGTGCTGGCCCTGTGGAGGTGGCAGGTCCGGGTGACTGGGTGGGGCTCAGGCGCTGGGAAGTGAAAACATTTCGGGGTGTTGGGTTTGGGGCTGTGCCACACCTGCCTGACAGCATGGAGAGAAACATCCGTGGCACGTGGGGAAGGCTTTGGGAAGTGGCAGTGGCACCAAGCTCTGCAGCCAAGGCCTGGGGACAGAGCCAGGCTCGTGCTGCACAGCGCTGCTGTCGCTGCCCCAGAGAGTTCTCGGCTCCTGCCTGAACTGAGCCCTCTGTTCATTTTCAGATGAGCTGCCATTTTTAAATCCCTCTCTTTTTTTTTTTTTTTCCATTTATTTTTCTATCTGTGGATGACCCTAATTTTGGCTGAGAAGCTTAGAAAAGCAAAGAATGCAAGGTTACTTTAATCTTCTTAAAGTTTAGAAGTCCCCTGGGATGTGTTTGACAGTGTTTGACAGCGCTGCGGGCGCCCAGCGGCCCGCAGAGCCCTGGTTCTGCTCTGCAGCACATCGGGCAAGGCTCCTGCAGGAGCTGGTGCCAAATTCCAGCATCCTGCAGGTGCACCCCGTGGATCTTCCCAGAGGCTGGGGGTGGTGGGCACTGGGAGGGGCTGGGACGCCGCGCTGGCAGCACCGGCTGCAGGGCAGGGGCCAGGTGGGTCCCAAATGGAGTTTGCTGAGCTCTGTTGAGGTGAGGATGTTGGGACCCTGGCACGGGCATTCCCATCACCTGCATGGTGCGTTTGCCACCGGAAAATGCCAGCAGGATCTCCCTGCTGCGGGCAGAGGCGGCCCCTGGAGCGCCCCAGGTCCCGTCCTGCCCGCCGGGACTCAGGGCAGGGACAGCGCCCAGACGTGTCTGCCCCGGGGCTCCGCTGCTTCCTCCAGGGCTTGGACGTTCCGAGGAAGAATCGCGGAATCCCCGACTGCTTTGGGTGGGGAGGGACCTTAAATCTCCTCCCATCCCACCCCTGCCACGGCAGGGACACCTCCCACTGTCCCAGGGACACCTCCCACTGTCCCAGGCTGCTCCCAGTCAATCCAGCCTGGCCTTGGGCAGTGCCAGGGATCCAGGGGCAGCCCCAGCTGCTCTGGGAATTCCATCCCGACCCCTGCCCACCCTCCCAGGGAACAATTCCTGCCCAATTCCCCATCCAGCCGCGTCTGCCACTAGAGTTCATGATGAAGAGTCCCTCTGTCGCCCTGAAAACTCAGCTTCTGAGCTTGCTAACATAGTTTTCTAAGGACTTTCCCAGGACAGTAACTGCAAACATAGATATGTGTACATTCTTTCTGTTCCACGCCTTGTGATGGGCATCTCTCATGGCCAGTGCAGTGAGAAAGTGTTATCCTGACCATCCAATCCCTGGCTGTGGTAGGAAGCCTATAAATCCTGGGAGGAAAAATAAACTCTGCTCTTTCTTTCACCACACCTCAACCTGTGTCCACGTGATCTATTCACCTTCAGCGGTAACATCCCTCCCTGGCACCTTCTGGTGCTGGAGGTCCTTGGCAGGTGTCGGCCCTGGGAGCAAGCCCGCAGTGCCAGCCTGGCACGTGGCATCGCAGCGAGTGCCAGACGCTGCCCGTGGTCTCCCCACCAGCCTGGGCACCCCCGAAGGCTGACCTCAAAAGCCTTCAGACACACAGGAGGCTCATTTTATAAGAACATGTAAAGATCCAAACATGGAATATTTAAGCCGGTGTTATGCAATGGGAGCTCTTTTAAGTCGTGATTTGTAAAGGCAGTTCAGATAATTTCCTGAAAGACATTCTGCTAATGATTAATTTAGAATATGTTTAATTCAAGTTAGAGAGATCAAAGAGGGAGCATTTTCCCTGTAATGCCATCCGTGGTTTCACACTTTCACCAGATTCCAGGCACTGGGGGGTGTCTGGTTTGTCCTTCCCTGCAATTCCTCTGTGAAAGTCGCAGAGGAAAGCGTTCTGCAGGCTCCGTGCTGGTTTGGGGCAGGGGGAGGGAGAGGAGCCTGGAGCACATCCCTGGAGCACATCCGGAGGGACAGGATGCTGGGGGCTGTGGGGTCAGCCCGTCCCCTCCCGCAGCGGTGGCTCCCGGTGGCTCTGACAGTCCTGGGGGCTGGCTGGGGATGGTTTCCGAGCATCCGTGGATCCCTGCAGGGCTGGGCCAGGAGCGGAGCTGCTCGGTCGGGCTCCAGCAGCGGCTCCCAAGCGCCGGGGCTCGCTCCAGGACCCGGAGTTGCTGCTGCGCTGTGTCCAGAGGAGAGCGGCGGAGCTGGGCCGGGGCTGGAGCAAAGGAGGCTCAGGGGGGCCCTTCTCGGTGTCTGCAGTGCCCTGACAGCAGGAGGGACCCCCGAGAGGGGCCGGGCTCTGCTCCCAGGGAACAGGGACAGAGAGGAGACGGCCTCAGGCTGGGCCGGTCAGGTCGGATATTGGCAAAACTTCTCGGTACAAAGGGCTGTCCAGCCCTGGCACGGCTGCCAAGGGCAATCCCCATCCCTGGAGGGGTTGAAAGCCGTGTGGATGTGGCACTTGGGGACAAGGACTGGTGGTGTCCTTGGCAGTGCTGAGGGATGGTTGGACTCGATGGACCTGGAGGGCTTTTCCACCCTCAGTTTCTGTGAATTACCTCGGCCGGGCTGCAAGCTCGGGCTCCACCAGGACCCTCCCCGGGGCCCTGCGGAGCCGGGGACAGGACACGCTGTCCCCGGGCAGAGCTGTCCCCGGGCAGGACTCGCTGTCCCCGGGCAGGACTCACTGTCCCCGGGCAGAGCTGTCCCCGGGCAGGACTCGCTGTCCCCGGGCAGGACTCACTGTCCCCGGGCAGAGCTGTCCCCGGGCAGGACTCACTGTCCCCGGGCAGGACTCGCTCTCCCCGGGCAGGACTCGCTCTCCCCGGGCAGGACTCACTGTCCCCGGGCACGGTGTGCACCCGGGACCGGCACAGCCCCAGCCGGGACCCGCAGCGCACCCCCTGTGCTGCCAGCCCGGGGAAAAGCCTCCTCATCCATGGCACGAACACAATCCTCACCCCGGAGCGGGCTGGTGCCGTCCCGCGGGGTTCCCGCAGCGCAGTCTGTGCGCTCTGAGCCCTGTTTGATGGGATAACGCGCTCGTTTGATCAGATAAAGGCGCGTTCCGTGTATTTGTCAGGAAGCGATGGATCGGCGGTGTTTGTGGGAAGGAGGAGGCAGCTCGGTGTCAGGAGCAGCCTTTGATCGCGGGGATGCGGCAGGAGCCGAGCGCAGCCGCTGCTCTCCGAGCTCTGGGAACCTCTCGGCGATCCCGGCGCTGGGAGAAGCCGAGTGTTAAAGCGTTAATGGGTCATTTGTAAAGCAGCAGGGGCTTTGCAGCCCCCAGGGGAAGGGGCAGTTTTGGGGGATGTGGAGGCCGAATCTCTCCATGAGAGCAGCCCGGGGGCAGGCGGGATGAGGAACCTCACAAACCGACCTCGGTTTAGCAACAGGCTGGGTTTGGATGAGGAAAGAGGCCGATATGAAGCAGATCCTGCAGGTGGGATAATGTTTTTTGTCAGGCCATGTTCTCCTCTGCACAGCTGGCTCAGGTGTGACACCTCCTCCCGGGGAGGTATCGGGACATTCCCCGCTAGGCCTGGGGGCTTTTGTCCCTTCTCATGGGACATGTGTGACTCAGCTGTCCCTCAGGTGGGATGGGAGATGGTTCTGGAGCTGAAAATGTCCCACAGGGAGCTGTGGTGTCACCTCCCAAGCTCCGGAGCCCTCACTCACGCGTCCCCCGAGCTCTGCCCCACCGCCCCCTGCGCTGTCGCTGAGTCTCTTTGTCCTGCAGAGAGATGCCAAGGGCCAGTACCTGTTTGACCTTCTCTGCCACCACCTGAACCTGCTGGAGAAGGATTACTTTGGCATCCGCTTTGTGGACCCCGACAAGCAAAGGGTGAGAGAGAGCCCCTCCTGGCCGGGCTGGGGGAGCGGGGCTCAGCCTGGTCCTCGTGCTGAAAATCCTCCCGAGTGTGAGGCAGAGAATCAGGTTTGGGCTCTTCCCCGGCAGCTCTGCCCTGCCCTGCTGCTGGGCCGGGGGCTCTGGGTGCTCCTGACAGGGCGTTCCTTTGCCCAGGGGATGGGGAATGGCCCCCTGAGCCCCCAGGGGACCCGGGGAGGGGTCTGGGATGTGCCCCGGCCCTGGCAGCAGCAGCCCCGGTGCCGCAGGTCGGGATGTGCTCCCGGGGGCTCTCCCGGGGCGGGGCTGAGGCATCCCGGAGTTTGCAGAGTGAGAGAAATGTGATGCTGTCGTGAAGCGAGGAGCGAGGTCCCCTGGCAGCGGGACCATCCCTAGCACGGATTCACGCTTTAACACCGAGATTAGGCCATTTGGCAGCTCTGTGCCGAGGATCCAAGCGCTCGGCTGTTGCCCCGGGCGATGGAGAGTGAGCCACGCAGAGCCAGGCAGGACCCTGCAGCAGGGAAACTGAGGCACAGCCCAGCTGGGCTCCCCCCAGGGCTGCACCCTGCCCCTTCCTGGGTCAAACAGGCTTGTGCAGAACGAGCTGTGCCCGTGTCCCTGCCCTTAGAGCCCTGAGGCTCCCCACCCATCAACACAAGGCTCGGAACAAGCGATTCCTGCTCCAGGGCTCCTGATGCTGAGCCACGGAGCTGCTCCCTCCTGCTCCCCCCAGCTCCCTTCCAGCGCCGCTCACCGACGCTCAGGTGGCTTTTCTGACCCAGAGCAGAACCCTCCTCTTCCTCATCCTCCCCAATTTACCAACTGACTGCTGCCAGGCTGTAATTACCTTTAATCACCTTCTTTTCCTTTCAGCACTGGCTGGAGTTTACCAAGTCGGTTGTGAAGCAGATGCGGGGTGAGTGTTGCAGGTGCTCTGTGCTCCTTCCATTGCAGATGTATTCCCATTTTCTCCAGCCCGCCCCCTCTCCCGGCCGCTCTGCGAGGAGCAGCTTCCCCCAGGAGCAGTTCTGGTGGCTCCAGAGCAGGATTGTCCCCAGGAGCCCCAGGGCAGCCCCAGGCAGCACAGGGCACCAGCCTGCACGGAGACCAGGGCAGGAATGATGGGCTAAGTGACACCGGGAGCGGGAGGTGGCTCGGGTGGCAGGCAAACACTTCCCCACAGCTTTACCAGGGACATCTCCTCCTGCCACGGGCGCTGCCCTGAGGAGTGCCTGCCCCTCTTTCCCGAGGGCAGTTTGGGGGGAACAAGGCAGGTGAGACCCTGAGAGGGGCCTGAATGGAGCGGGGCGGTTCAGGGGTGAAGGGGACAAGCCCTGCCCTGTGGTGACACGGTGTCCCCGCTCTCTGCAGCCCAGCCTCCCTTCACCATGTGCTTCCGTGTCAAGTTTTACCCCACGGACCCCGCGGCGCTGAAGGAGGAGATCACCAGGTGAGCAGGGGTCCTGCATGGGGGGAGCAGCCAGCCCCAGCAGCGGGGGCTTGGCGGGGGCAGAGCACACGGAGCAGTTTTGTCTCACAGTCAGGACAGAGCAGCAGCCACTGGCATTTCCCAACCGGCCCAGGTGCTCTGGGACTGTTCCTGCCGTGGGGAGAAGCACGGGAGTCCCCCCTGTGCTGAGGCAGCACCTGGAACTGCTGTGCTTGGTGGGGAGCACAGGCTGAGGGGCTCAGGCCCTGGCACAGGTGCCCAGAGCAGCTGGGGCTGCCCCTGGAGCCCTGGCAGTGCCCAAGGCCAGGCTGGACACTGGGGCTGGGACACCCTGGGACAGTGGGAGGTGTCCCTGCCATGGCTGGGGTGGCACTGGGGGGGCTCTAAGGCCCTTTCCTGCCTGAACCATCCCTGGGCTCTGTGATTAAAGCCCCTGGCTTGGTCTTTGGCTGCAGTCAGCTCCCAGCCCAGGTTCCAGGGTGGAGCACTCTGAGCATGGCCCCGGCTCTGTAACGCATTCGCTGCTGCTCAGACTCCTCCAGTTCAGCCACAGCCCTGCCCGAGCACGTCCCCAGCCCGGGGTGTCCTTACTGTGCTGGGCTGTCGGGAGGGGTTGGAGTGTCCCCGCTCCCCTGAGATTCCCTGGCAGCATCCAGCCGTGTCCCTCTGACGTCAGGAGCGGAGCGAGGAGCAGAGCTGACGGCACAGCCTCTCCCAGTTCTATCTTCAGGGGCTCTTCACGCTGCTCTTCCTGCCTGGAAGGACACGAGGAGCCTGCACAGAGCCACCAAAGCAGCAGCTTTGGACAGTGAGCCGTGGCTGTGGATCTGCAGCATCCACAGCTGTGCCTGGGCAGCCGGGCTGGAGCCACCATCGAAGGGTTCTGAGCTGGCACCTTCTGGGGGATGGGCTGAGAGCCCCTCCAGGGCCTCAGGGCCCTTCCACAAGACCTGAGGGGGCTTTGGGCAGGAGGGCAGGCCGAGGGGGAATGGCACCCACTGCCAGGGCAGGGAGAGATGGGACATGGGGAAGAAATTCTCTGTCAGGGTGGTGAGGCCCTGGCACTGCAGCAGCCTGCTCCAGCGTGTCCCTGCCCCTGGAACACAGAGAAGGATTTCCTCCCAAAACCTGACCTAGCTCTGCCTTCTGTCACCCCCCACAGGTCCAGGCTGAGCTGCCCCTGCTTGCTGCCCTTCGAGGTGTGCCTGCAGCTGCAGCTGGAACCCAGGCTTAAAATTCACTTTTCCCTGGGCTGAGTCCAATTTAATACCAAGATTTCTCTTTAATGTATTTTATCTGTGAAAATTAATGGTTTACCTCATCATAAACTCAGATTTGAGCAATGAGGCGTGACCGAGGATTGCAGAGTGCGAGTCTGGTTATTTAAATTCATTTCTGAGGGCTCCATTTTGCTCCTTCACTCCGTGACTTATGTTGTACCAGCTAAAGGTTTTCCCAAATGCCACATGACGCAGCCCAAAATGTGACTTAGGTTTAAATTTATTGGAACATGTAATTTTTCCGACATAGTTTGTCCTTTAACTGTGCACAGGATGGGGAGCAGAGCGGGCAGCTCACCCTGGGTGATGCAGCAGTGGTCACAGGGATGTGGGGACATACACCAAGACCTAGAAGGACACAGAAAGTTTGGGAAGGAGAAAATCACGTTATGGGGAAGCTGAACATCCAGGGGAAATGCAGCAGACACTGGTGGGCTCTAGATCATGAGATCTCCTTCAGAGCATCGGGCACCTCGGCTGGGCTGGGGGAAGGAACACGATGGGTGTCCAGGTGATGGAGATCTGCAGCAGCCCTCGGGTCAGGAGCTGCCCCAGAGCAGGCACGGTGTACCTGGAGCACCATGGCTGGAAAGGGGCTGGGATGTGTGCGTGTGAGCCCCAGTCCTGGCCAGGAACAGCCTGGCGAGCGCCAGCTTTGGTAAATGGGCTGCTGGGAGAGAGATGTCAGAGCTGGTGGCAGATATTCCACGTCTAAACTGGCCGATGGGGTGATTTAAACTGTCCCTGGTAAAGAGACTCTCCTCCTGTGCCCAGGTACTTGGTGTTCCTGCAGATCAAGAGGGATCTGTACCACGGGCGGCTCCTGTGCAAGACGTCGGACGCGGCGTTGCTGGCTGCCTACATCCTGCAGGGTGAGCCTCTGTCTCTGCAGAGATCGGCTTTTCCTGCCCAGGAGCCTTTCCTTGCTGCACTGACTGCAGCCCTGCAGGCCACTGCACCTGCAGCACCCACGGCACCCCCAGTGCTGGGCTGGGCGAGGCTGGGGACAGGCTGTCACCTGTACGGGGGACACGGTGTCCCCGGGAGCAGCCCCTGGGCTCAGCCAGCCCCTGCCCTCCTGCCTGTTCTCCCTCCTGCTCCTGCAGCTGGGGGAATCGGTGCCCTTGGGCCGGTGAGTGCCCCCAGACAGAGAAATGAACTGCATGCAGTGAGTGCCTGACAAATGATCCCGGCCAGAGGGAGGCACGGCGGGGTCGGAGCGGCGCTCCGGGCGGTGCCGGCATGGGGATGCACTCTGTGCTCTGCTCCTGCTGCTCTTCCCGACTGCATCTGTCTCCCACCAGCTGAGATCGGTGACTACGACCCAGGGAAGCACCCGGAAGGCTACAGCTCCAAGTTCCAGTTCTTCCCCAGACACTCGGAGAAGCTGGAGAGGAAAATCGCGGAGATCCACAAGTCGGAGCTGAGGTACAGGAGCTGCTGTGATGCTCAGAGCACTTCTGTCCCTGTCTGGGATCCTCACTCAGCAGTCCCCGTGCTCTTTTGTCCCTGTTTTCCCCTCCTGCAGTGGGCAGACACCAGCTACTTCAGAGCTGAATTTCCTCAGGAAAGCCCAGACTCTGGAGACTTACGGGGTTGACCCACACCCGTGCAAGGTAAAACAGTTCCTAAACCCATTCCTTGGGCTGCTGCTGGGGTTGGATTCCTGTCTGTGGCCAGTGAAGACCCCCTGAGCTGCCAGGGACTGTCCCAGGTGCATTTGTCACCTGCCAGCGGCTCTGGGGCTCTGCCAGCCTCGTTCAGCCTCAGCCCCATCCCTGGCCCGAGGGCACAAGGGGAGTGGGGAGGGCTCTGAAACCCTCCCGGGCTGTCAGGGAAGCCGTGGGGAAGCGGTTTCAGTGGCAGGGTGGTCGATCCCCTCCTGCAGAAGCAGGACTTTGGAGACAAGAGCGAGGTCAGTGGCATGGCATTAATCTGCCTGGGACAGTCCATCCCTCTGCCCCGCCCAGCCCATAATCCAGTGCTGGAAATGCTCTTTATGGACTGAGGATGTCACTGCATGCGGCTCTCTGGCCCCTGGTAATCCCATCACATGCAGATGGCTGTGGGACACAAAGGAGACAGAAAATTCTCCTCTCGGGCAGTGCCTGTGCTGGGGCTTTTCCCTGAGTTGTGCCACACGAACCCACAGCTGCAGTAAACTGGGGGTGGTTCCTGTTTATGGGAGTTTCTGAGTGCCCAAGAGGTTGCTTTGCTCTGAATTCCCTCTAAAGCAGTGGTTTTGCCAGCAGACACCCATTTGTGACCTTTGCTGCTGGAGTCAGGTAATTGCCATCCTTTTACTCCAAGAACCTCTTGAACATACCCGAGTTACACTAATTAATGTTCTTATAACAGCTCAGGACAAACACACACACTCCTATGTCTGTCAGCAGAATTCTGCCTAATTCATCAAGAGCTGCCTTTAATTATGCTTAAAGGATCTGGAAACCAAAGTTAAATGAAGCTGATTCTGTTCTCTCTTCTCCAGTGCATTGTGGAGAAGTTTGGATGAGGGGTTGTTCCCTCTCAGCCCTCCTCAGTTCAGTGTCCCGTCACTCAATCCTGCCTGCAGGTTTCATGGTGCTCTCATAGCACTCTTCTCCCCAAAAAACAAACACAGGGAAAGATCTTCCTTTGTTCAGCAGGGCTCACCTGAGCCCTGGGCTGTCCTTGGTCCTTGTTTTGTACGTAAATCCCTGCAGGAACGTGTGTGTTTGTGTGTGTGACAACAACAGGGGTCTCTCTGTTCTCGGGATGGACAGAACTTCTGCCCTGGCCAGAGAGAACCTTGGAATGGTTCTGACTGGAAAAGCCCTCGAAGGCCATGGAATCCAACCATTCCCCAGCACTGCCAAAGCCACCACTAGCCATGTCCCCCAGTGTCACATCCACACACTTATTGAGCCCAGGGCTGTGCCCATTCAGCACCCTGGCCCTCCCAGGCCCCTGCATCCAGGAGGACACATCCTCCTGCCCACTCTGCTTCCTTTCCCCGTGCTTTTCCCAGCCTTGGGAAGGAGCCAAAGCCCTGTGGGGCAGACACACAGGAATGTCCCTCCTGTGCCAGCAGGGGCTGTGGCATCTCCGGGGGGGGGACTTTGGGCTTCCCCCCTCACCTGTGCAGGTGTTGGGCTGTGGGTCAGCACTCTCTGCCTTTGACAGCTGAGATGGACTTGTGTTCTGAGCATCTGCTGGCCCAAAAACACACAGGAAGAATGCAGCCACTGCTGTCCCAGAGCTGTTTCACCTTTGGACAGTCCCAGCCCCGCTTTTCCCTGTGCTCAGTGCGGTCACCAACCCCTCCCCTGGAGTCCCTGGGGCTGGGCTGAAGTGCTGGCACCAATTCCTGGCTTTGGGCTGGCTCACTGCCACCCAGGGCACCGGCTGGGCACGGCTCCGAGGGAGGGAAGTACAGCTGGGGGCTCTCGTGTTCTGGGTTAATTGCTACATATAAAATATATACATATTTAGGATTTGGACATCAGTGATCCTTGTGAGTCCCTTCTGACTCAGGATATTCTGTGATAATATAATAAATAATCATATTAAACAGTATATATCATAGTAATTACATATGCCAAATAAATAGTGTATATCTATATAATATCTATAGGTGCTTACACGGAGTAGTATGGTTACAATACACGCTACATAAATGTACATTAATTGCAACAGTTCTAACACGGTATTACATTAGTAGCATCAATTCTATAGATGTCAACAGGAGGTTTAGCACAGAGGATAACAGGTAACTGTGGCAGCAGCCGGGGTGGGCAGTGCCCAGCCCGGGGCTGAGGGCACAGGTGACATCCCTGTGCTGATGGCCAGCAGCTGCACCAGCTCTGCTTGCCTTGCAGGACGTGTCCGGCAACGCGGCGTTCCTGGCCTTCACCCCCTTCGGCTTCGTGGTCCTGCAGGGAAACAAGAGAGTTCACTTCATCAAGTGGTGAGTTCACTTCATCAGGAGCTGAGCTCACTTCAGGTGCTGAGCTCCCCCCACGGGGGATTTGTCCCCATGAAACTTCATCATCCCCACCTCGGCCACGTCCCAAACCCCACCAGCCCCTGTCAGCTGTTCTGCTCACTGCAGGATGTCCAGCCTTGGCCGGTGTGTCCCTGGCAGATGGCACTGCCACCAGCCGGTGTCCCTGGCACTCAGTGTCCCCCGCTGAGCCTCAGCTTCACCCTGGGCTGGCCCCACTCCAGCCACGGGTTTGTGAGCCAGGGTTTGTTTCTCAGCACCCTGTGCCACCTCCTGCCGTGCGCACCAGGCTCTGGGAGCTGCTGGGGGCTGGCTGGGCTCTGCACAGCTCTACCTGAACAACCCCACCTGTACAGCTCCACCTGTACAGCCCCACCTGAACAACCCCACCTGAACAACCCCACCTGAACAGCTCCACCTGCACAGCCCCACCTGAACAACCCCACCTGAACAACCCCACCTGAACAGCTCTACCTGTACAGCCCCACCTGCACAGCCCCACCTGAACAACCCCACCTGTACAGCCCCACCTGAACAACCCCACCTGCACAGCTCCACCTGTACAGCCCCACCTGAACAACCCCACCTGTACA